TGGTTAATGAGCGGAGATCGGTCCCTGTAGACATTGGTTCTCAATCTGGCGTGAACGCTTCCCCTGGGGTTGCGAGATGCCCTTTCTGGGGGCTGTGAGACGTGACCAGACTTTGTTAGAAGGTAAATCATCGATACACAAATTAAGCACGGGCACGTAAGTACAACTCCTTTGTGTATCAAACCCCCAGGTATTTATTAACATTATTAAATATTTTTACAATTGAGAACCAAAGGGGTGCAAGGCTGCAGTCAACGTTAAGAGCCACTGCTGTTAATGTTGCAGGGGCCATCCCATTGCGTGCCTTGTACAGGTGTGGTCCAGATGTCTGGTGACCCCTGTTAAATATTTTGTGATTTTAGAAAAAATATTTAAAAATATTGATAAAAACAGTTACAAAAAAATACGTTAAATATGTTAACGTATGCAATTAATTGTGATTAACTAAAAATGTGTGCTAAGTGTAATTAAGAATGTGTGAGCGCAGATGTTCTTAATTGCCCCTGGTGTGGTGTGTGTCTGTATCCTTGTTTATTGTGAAACGGCCTTCACCTCTCTTTAGGTCGACTCAGCCTTAATGTGAATTCCTGCTGCAGCAGCAATCACAGCCACTGGGAAGACAAAGGCGGTTGGACAGGCTCTGGTTATATCCCTGGAATCCAAATTATTCTGGTCGTGGAGAATTGACGTAATTCGTATTACGCGTTTTTTTTTAGAACGCGCTAAATCCAGATATTTGGAAAGAGAAAACTTTTACGTAAAAAATAGGCAATATCACTCTTAATATACACTTTTGAAAAAGGCAATTATACAACACAGACGGTACACAGATACTTTTTTATAGAGATATACAGACTAGAGAGACACAGACTAGAGACACACAGATTAGAGACACAGATTAATGTACGGGAGTATACAGACGGGACATAGACGGCTTTATACAAGCGGTGAGTGAGAAAGAGAGAGACGGACCGTAGGCCCGTGAGTGAGTGTGTGAGTATGTAAGTGAGTGTGTGTGTGAGTGTGTGAGTGAGTGTGTGAGTGAATGAGTGTGTGAGTGTGTGAGTGAGTGTGTGAGTGAGTGAGTGTGTAAGTGTTGTCCGGCAAAACAACCCCCTACCTCCTCGCGGTGCCGGACGGGCAACTCTGTCGTGGACAGTGCTGTGGGGGGAGATCCAATTTTGATTGGCTCCTCCCCTCATGGCATATGTGTCCACCACAGGGGCTAAACGGGAGTTCTGGACGGGTGCGAGGGGCTGGTAACCCCTCCACCTTCAATTAATTACCACGAAACCACGAAGTAAACTGAAATATGTAACTAATAAGCTTGTGCCGGAGGCCCCGGGGGGCCAGGCGTCTATGACGTCTCCTGGCCAAACCACAATTGGCGGAGCCAGGAGATTGAATACCTACCCTCGGGGCTACTCCAGAAACAACGAAAAGCCACTACGGGTGGCCACGTGGAATGTTCGAACGCTCACTGCAGAGGAGAGGCTGCCACTCCTCTGTCGGGAGCTGGACCGGTACCGCCTGGATCTATGCGGCATTCAGGAGGTCCGGTGGACCGGCTCTGGCTCCTGCCACCATGAGGAGTGGACAGTCCTCTACTCGGGGCAGCAGACTGCCAAACAACAGGGTGTGGGTCTTCTTTTGAACAAAAGAATGAAGGGGGCGTGGGAGTGTGGCGGTGAGGTGTGGGAAGCTGTAAGCCCCAGGCTACTTTGGGCTCGCCTTCCCATCAACCAGAGGCGAGGAATGGTGGTCGTGCTTACTTATGCCCCCACCGAAGATGAACATCCGTGGAGGGATGCAGGCAAAGCCGATGAGTCAGATGCCTTCTATGACCTCCTGTCACAGGTGCTGGCTAAAGTGGCCCCTCGGGATAGAGTCATCATGTTGGGTGACTTCAATGCCCGAGTTGGTCATGATACTGGCACCTGGTCTGGAGTGATTGGAGGGCATGGGCCAGATCAGCTCAATAACAACGGTAGGAGGCTGCTAGATTTTTGTGCAGCCCATGTTCCGGCATCGGCGCATCCACACAACATCATGGATGCATGCCGGGTCCAAGCAAGAACATCTGCTGGACTACATAGTGACGGACCAGCGAATGCGAGCCCATGTCCTTGACACCAGGACCTACCGTGGAGCTGATCTGCCCTCTGACCATCGACTAGTCATCTGTAAGATGCGCCTGCCATTCTTCCACTCCGGTGGTGGGTGTACACCCAGGACCCCATTCCAACATAAAGTGGCCTGGTCTCAGTTATCTGATGAAAGTTGCAAGCGAGAATTTCATCATCGCTTGCGGCTGGGATTGGCATCGTCCCCGACTCCTCCTGATGTCGAGGGTAAATGGGCGAGGTTTAGGACTGTGACTCATGCAGCTGCAATGGCTGCTTTGGGTACGCGGTCTAGACCTCCCCAGAGACCCTGGCTGACAGAGGAGGTGTTCAGGATGGTTGAGAAAAAGCGACAGGCCCACTGTCATCGGCTACAGAATCCCACGTCAGAGAATGAGGAGGCTTATCACAGCCTTCGCTCGGAGGTTCGGAGAGCCGTGAGGCGTTGCAAGGATGGGTGGTGGTCGCGGGTTGCTGAGGAGATGGAGTGTGCCTCAGTGGCCCGTGATCACAAATCTCTATTTAACTCCATCAAAAAAGTAACCTGCAGCGCCACACCTATTACCATCATTAGGGGAATAAACGGTGATCCAATCTCCGACCCCCAGGAACAGGTTCGCAGATTTGCTGAGCATTTCTGTGAGGTCCTGGGGGAGGGAAAATCCCTCAGCCAGGAAAACATCGTGGCACAAAGTGAGGATGACCCTGCTGAGGCTGCGGTGCCTCAAATATTGGAAGAAGTCACCCCCTGTAAGTGGCTGGCTGAGATGCCATCTGCTGAGGAAGTATTGAAGGCGATCCGGAGTCTGAGACCAGGAAAGGCAGCGGGCAGAGATGATCTCCCAAGCGAAATGCTGAGGGAGGGTGGCGTTTGTGCACAGACTGCCCTATATGACATCATAACAACAGTCTGGACCAATAGACGGGTTCCGCAGGATTGGAAGGATGCCCTGGTGGTCCCCCTTTTTAAGAAGGGGGACCGCACAGACTGTAACAACTACAGGGGCATCTCACTCCTCAGTGTGCCGGGAAAGATCCTGGCAAGGATTATTCAGCATCGCCTTGCCAGGCACGCTGAGGAGAGGCTTGCGGAGCCCCAATGCGGTTTCAGGAAAGGGCGGTCCTGCACAGATGCCATATTTTCTGTCCGTCTGCTACAGCAGAGGTGTAGGGAATTCCAACAAGACCTACATCTCTGCTTTATTGACCTGGTCAAGGCCTATGATACCATCAGTAGGCCTGGGCTCTGGGTCGTTCTTCGTGCTTTTGGAGTACCTGACCCTCTGCTCATGATCATTAAGGACCTTCATGATGGTGAGCGGGCCCGGGTAAAACTACGTGGCCGGGAGTCAGAGCCATTCCCTGTACACGTTGGGTTGCGACTGGGATGTCCTCTGGCTCCCACATTATTTAACATCTATTTTGACCACGTAGTTCGTGAAGCCTTCAATAGCTGTACCGGGGGAATCTCCATATGGTACAGATATAATGGGAGGCTAATCGATGCCCAGGTGCGGTCAAGGGATGGCTCCCTATTGCTCAACCACGTTATGTATGCTGATGATTTGGTAATAGCTGCTCAGTCAGAGGAGGAGTTAGAGACGCTGCTGCTGAGACTGGAGCGTGCCACTAAGAGGTGGGGCCTTACTATCAGCCCCACCAAAACTAAGCACCTGCCTGGGTATTTTGTACCATCGGACACTCCACCCCCACAACTCCCAATCGGTGATGGGGCAGTTGTGGAGAGAGTGGAGAGTTTCCCATACCTGGGCAGTGTGCTTATGACTGGCTCCAGTTTACCAGCAGAGGTCTCACTCCGAATCAGTCGAGCGGCAATATCTTTTCATCGGTTGCGTAACGCTGTGTGGAAGCTACCTGGTCTGTCGCTCCGCACTAAGCTTCAGGTCTTCTCGGCTACGGTCATTCCCTCCCTTCTCTACGCTTGCGAAACGTGGACCCCCCTAATGGAACATCTTCGCCGGTTAGAAACATTTAGGCTGGCTTGCCTACGATCCATCCTGGGTTTAACCAGACTGGATTGTGTGAGGAGCTCACAAATCCTTGAAAGATCTGGGCAGGGTCCCATCGGTGAGCTCCTCCGGCAGGCAAGGCTGCGATGGCTGGGTCATGTAGCCCGCATGCCCAGCCACCGCATGCCGAAACAGCTTTTGTTTGGCCGGATTGAGGGGGCTGAGCGGGCGCGGCACGGGCTAGAGAAGAGATGGAGTGATGTGGTACAGGAGGACGTGGAGCTGAGTGGACTTGCCGATGACTGGTACCAGCGGTGTCAAGATCGGCCTCTGGGGAGGAGGCTCGTGAAGGATGCTACTGGGCAGTTGGAGGCAGTCGCCCTCCAACAACAACGGAGGGCGGAGGAGCGACGCTCAGAACAACGAGCGGAGCGCCGGGTGGATAAAGCACAGCAGGTTGGCACAGTAGGGGGCACAGGTGGTGCATCAGCCAGTCATCTCAGTCAGTCGACCCGTGGCACCTGGGTCTGCCCCGTGACCTCCTGCCAGCGGGCGTTCGACACTTCACGTGGGCTCAGGGTGCACATAGCCTGGCACAAGCGTCGTGGTGACGTCACCGCCACTTAGTGGCGAATGGCGGTTGTTGTGTAAGTGAGTGTGTGAGTGAGTGTGTGAGTGTGTGAGTGAGTGTGTGAGTGAGTGTGTGAGTGAGAGTGAGTGAGTGAGTGGAGTCTGTGAGTGTGTGAGTGTGTGTGAGTGAGTGTGTGAGTGAGTGGAGTGTGTGAGTGAGTGGAGTGTGTGAGTGAGTGGTGTGTGTGAGTGTGTACGTGTGTGTGTGCGTGAGTGTGTGTGTGAGTGTGTGAGTGTAACTGAAAGCGTAGCTGGGTGTGGGCTGCGTGGAATCCGAGGGGTGCTGAGCTGTCACCGAACCGGCTTTGCCAGGACGCTGCGAGGATTTTTTTTGGCTACAAAACCCGCGGCGGATCGCGCTGCCTGCCTGGCCTGGAGCCACTGCGCCTCACTGAGCACTGAGCCGTCGCTGCTGCTGCACCGAGGAATGAGCCGTGGACATCGTGGGAACCCCCTTCGCTCGCATTGGTGACCTTGTAGAAGGAAGCTTTCAAACGCAGTGCCGCTTATTTATCCGTTAGTTAGCAAAGCAGACGAGTCCAGGCCGTGTGTTCAATGCAATCCAGGTCGCGTCTTCCCACGAGTCCGACTGGGGTGTCGAGTCCAAGGCATTCGTTATCTGCTGTAAACAACCCGCAGAGCCCAAGGGAGCGTCTCTGGTTTCAAGCAGCGTTTAGAGTGCAGTATTTAGATTATTTGGCTGCTATCCACATCCAACATGACGAGCCACTTTGTTGAGCTATCATTTGTGATGGGCAGGTCGCTTAGGAAAAATAAGCCAATAGCTCAGTGGGGCATTACACTTGGTAAAATAAAATTAGTTGAGTTTTATTTTCATGTTTTTTTACCATCATGGTGAACGCCGATGGGCATTTGTGTTGCTGCGTGTGCATGCGCGTTGAGTAGCCGTGCTTGTGAATGTGAAACAACAACGCAGCTGAAGTAAGCGGTGGGTGCGGCTGTGAATGGCCGGCACGGGGATCTGCAGTCCCGAACAAGGTGAGAGTGAGAGACGGCGACATCGCCAGCAGTGGGTGATGGAGGCAGGTAGAGTTGGTGATGGATTCACACTGCTAGCAAAAGGCTCAAGATTCCAGGATCTGTCACGGGAGGCTACAGACAAATTCCATCTCAGATGCCACGATGACATTCAAGCAACTCGTCACGTTGGGGTAATTACACGGAGGTGGAATTACAGGACATGATGGGACGGCTACAACTATGCCAACATTTTTTTATTTTACCAGGCAAGGCTCACTGAGCTGTGTAGCTATTTCTCAGAAACGACCTGACCAGAAATGATGGCTTATCACGTGGTAATGTATTTGACCAACTACTCTAAACGCGTGATGTTGATTGTGAATGTGGAAGGGAAGAACCGGAGGGTCCGGAGAAAAATTCACGCGACCATGGAGAGAGAGAGAGACGCAAACTTTAAATATAAAGCAGGCGTCAGGGTCTGGATCAAACCCCACCACCCCTTGTATACCGGGCGAGGGAGATAACATTTTGCCACCAACTTGCTGTAGAAGTTCATCTCTCGACACTCATCTCACGAATGAGCCACCGCAGCTGAGCCTCACCGATTTATATTAACAGCGCTCATTTCTGTAAATGTCAAGGTGTGTACAGTAGCCGTGTTCACCTTGAGCCTGCTGTTTGCACACCAATAAGCGCGGGTTCACATTCCAGGCAGTGTCTCGTGATGTCAGTGACGACAATGAAACTATTTAAAGTATTTTACTTCCTTCTTCACCGTCGCTATAAGAGAGAGGTCCTGGTCCAGCGTCTCTCTGCGCCACACAGCGAGCGATCCCAGCGAAGCCATGGGTCATGGCGAGCGCGACTCCCAGTGAGAGTGTGGATAGTAAGCTGCGCTGCTCCATCTGCCTGGGCACGTTCGTCTGCCCCTCCACGCTGAGCTGCGGACACTCGTTCTGCCTGCGGTGCCTGGAGGCCGCCTGGGAGACGGCGAGCAGTTTCAGCTGCCCGCAGTGCCGAGCGACCTTCCCTGTGCGACCCCAGCTGAGGAGGAACGTGGCCCTCGTCAACCTGGCGGAGCAGCTCAGAGTTGGGGACGGGATGGCCACGGCCGTCGTGTGTGACCACTGCGGTGATGGCCACATTCCTGCAGTGAACACCTGCCTGAGATGTGAGATGTCCTTCTGTGCCACGCACTTGAGGCCTCATGTAGATAATCCCAGGCTGAGAGACCACGTCCTGGTGGCCCCCATCGCGAACCTGGAGGAGCGACGGTGTCGGGAGCACAGACACGACCTCATTCTTTACTGTGAACAAGATGAGATCCCGGTCTGCACAGTTTGTGCCCTTGGAGGAGACCACTCTGGACACAACGTCATCGCAGTGGAAAAAGAGCAACAGACCAGACAGGTGAAGTGTCATGTTCCGTTGTAATCCGCATTGTTACAGGAGGTTGAGAGATTCACATCAGTAGGTTGTGACCCCTCACCTCGACCAGGTGAGCACCTGTTGAGACCAAACGTCCCTCTACAGGGAGATCCAGGTAGAGGTGGCAGGGTGGCTCAGACGTCAGAAGGCTGAGATGGTAATGCTGTAATTCTGAGTTGGAATCTGGACGGCTGCCCATGGATTAAACCGGATTCTCAAGTTTAGTGAGTTGATGGTCTAAACCGAGTCAACATTTGACATCACGTTCAACAATATTTTGCGTGAGAATTCAAAATCTCAGTTTGACTCAGTGAGAAACGTTGCTATGTATAGCAGGACGTGTGAGAAGCTGCTACACCCATCGCTAGAAGAGGTTAAAAACATATTTTAGAATGTACGTGATATTTGTCAATTATGTTGTCTAACAGGATATTGCATTGCTCTGCAGTAGTTACGATTAGATTATTCATCTCAATGCATAACACGGACAATGCAGTGGGGATACAATCGTGGGAAAAGTAAAAATATTCATGGAGACGTATGCAGAAACATAGTGACAACAGATGGGTGTATGTGTGTTGAACTTCTTTCATAGCCAACCGTGCTAAGATGCGGGATGATCAATCAGTGATCCAACAATGTCAATGGCGAGCACCGCGGTTTTATTTATTTATTTGCCACACCGCAGGAGGAGCTCAGAGTCAAGAAGGAGGGGAGAGAGGAGAAGAGGAACGCGGTGGCGTCACGGACACGGACGCTCAGGGACGACTACCGGCGCGTGGAGGTATAGAGAGAGATGGCAGCCGCACAAATCCCTCTTCTGGTTTGCCTAAAGAATCGTATTTCATTAAACCTTGCTCTTATTATACTCTTTGGTTCTTTCGGTAAAGTCACGTAGGTAGAAAACATAATGGATCACGACGTTTCGATTGCAACACAAGCAAACGTCATCAGGTGGGACACCACAGCAAGGAAAACACTGCTGAAGTAATTCTTATTATTGACGAGCACTGCCCCACGCGTTGGCGCGGGATACAAGCTCGGTGAATTGCAAGCGGTGTGGATTTCAAGCGAATCGCTTCCCAATGACAACTCGCTTGCTGCCTACTTTAATTATACAAAATCAACATCAAACTGTAACGGAGCAAAGTGTGAATTCTTAACTGTGTTTGTCTGTCAGCACTTTTTTAGTGCATTTTTTAGCACATAACCTTTCTGAAACTTGAAGCCTCAATAAAATGTATAGCTTTTGTGTATGTTTACATATCAGTAAAAAAATGTGGGTAACATTACAACCAGTTTAGGACGGACAGATTTGCAACACATGTAACGACGTGAAGAGAAGGCCACCACGGTATGACAAAGAAACAAAATTTACGACACAACCACCAACATGACAGCAGTTTTGGTTTAGGGGGGGGGGGGGGCAGAATCGATCTGCACTGGACGATGCATTGGCGACTTGTCCTGTCGATTCCTTTATTGATCACAACCACGATGCTTGTTATGAAAGATTGAAATTCCTTCTTCCTGGCTCCCCCAAACCTGAATCAGACCAACTTAGCCTGAGTGCAAGGGAGGTTGGAAGTGATTTTTGCCTTCGAAATCAGCATTGTTTGTCTATTACAGCACATTTTCATTTAAAACAAGAGCAATGTAACGTATATTTGTTTTTTTTAATATATATTCGCAGACCTTTGACAATTTACTGGTAATGTCCTCGGCAAGAGAATTTGTTTCTGTTTAATTCGCATTTCCCTCCGACACATCATTTGTAGATCCAGATTTGGATGGATAGAAAGTAAGATGCGAATGATACCCAAAGAAATGTATTACATTTTATCCAGATAGACACTCAGCAACGTGCAGCTACAGACAGAAGTAATCCCTATACTACCCTTGCCTATGATATTTTGCCCTTATATACCATTCTCATTCTCCCTGTGCTTCATATGTTCACGAGCTCCCAATGCACACTTCACTCACCTCCGTGTACATAATCGAGGTATGGTAACAATCATTGCCCGTACGATGCCACATTGCGTCGTTACCTAAAAAGTGACTCAACAACTCGGTACTGTCTGTTTAGGAGTCTCTGCGTGAGACCAAGAAGCGGATCAAGCGAAAGTTTGGGCGCCGGAGGGAGCAGCTGAAGAAGGAGGAGAGGGAGGCGCTGGAGCGCGTGGACGAGGAGGGCCTCTCCGTGCTGTCCCGCATCCAGGCGGACATCGCTCACTACGAGAGCAGAGCACGCGGCCTGGAGCAGGAGATCAACCAGCTGCTCGCTGCCCTCGCCGTGCAGGACCCCCTCTCCTTCCTGCAGGTGGCACCACCCCCATTCACTCGCCAGGGTGGCTAGGAGATGTTAACTACCTCGCCGGATATGCAGGAGGTCGTGGGTTTGATACCAACCCTGACGTCTGCTGCTGTATATTCGGAGTTTGCATCTCTCTCTCTCTTCTCGTGGATGCGTGGATTTTTTCCGGGTCCTCTGGTTTTCCCTCCACATTTAGAATCGACATCACGCGTTTAGAGTATTTTGCTGCTATAAATTTACACACGATAAGCCACTTTCTTGAGTTATAATTTGGGGCAAGGTTACTTCTCAAGCAGAGCTATATAGCTCAGTGGGCCTTACCTGGCAAGGTATAAAAAGTAGTTTATAGTTATATTCTTAGTTTTTTCAGTAAAGTCACGTTGAATGGAAACAACAAAATAATAAAATATATATAAAACAATAAAAAAATTCTCACGACGTTTCGACCATAACTCAAACGGTCGTCTTCAGGTGTGTTGGTTTGCATAAATTTATTTTTAAACGGCACATTTATTTATTTATAAAAAAACGTTAGCGCCACGCGCAACGATTTGGCAGTTTATTTAGGACTAGTCCATCTATATTCTGAAAAGAGGAGGGGGGAGACGAATTTTTTTTTATAATGTATGCTGTCTGAAAGCCACTGTAAGCGTGAATAATCAATTAAGACCTGAAATGGTTTATCAAATCTTTCCAATGATTGCTAAGATAGAATCCATCTTCTCGGTTGAAATTGTCTCTGTGCTTGTATATGTGGATAGCCTCATGAACGAATCTCTCATGGAAGCCAGATGGCTTACAAAGAACCTCTGTCTTGGAAAAGTCAATGGCATGTGAGCCTACTGAATTAGAACAATGATCTGCCACGGCCGAGGTGTTGGTCCTACCGTGTTTAAGGTCTGCTTTGTGTTCACGAATGCGGTCCGAGACATGGCGTTTGGTTTCTCCAATGTAACTACTACCACAGAGGCAACTTAGTTTGTAGACACCAGGGTATTGTATGTCCGGAATTACATCTTTTACAGACGGAACCAGATCACGGATTTTATGTAATGTGTTGAAACGGACCTGGATCTTGTGTTTATTCAAGATTTTGGAGATCTTTTTTGTGATCCCCGCAATCTAGGGTAAAGTGATGGATTTGAAAGGCTCAAGAGGGTTCTTCTTCATGGTTTGAGTGATAGCTTTGCGGATTGTATAGTCGGAGTAACCATTAGCCCTAAGAGCTTGGTGTACGTGCTTGAGTTCACTGCTTATGTGTTCCTGGTCGGATATGCATTGGGTTCTATGATAGAGTCTTGATGAGAGAATTCTTCTGTGATGGATGGTGGTGGGAATCCGGTTTCAGATAAGCATCTGTATGGGTAGCTTTCCTGTAGACAGAGTGGCTCATTGAACCATCAGGTCTCTTTTTAATTAGGACATCCAAAAAATGTATTTTGCCATCTATTTCGACTTCCATAGTAAATCTGAATATAGATGGACTAGTCCTAAATAAACTGCCAAATCGTTGTGCGTGGCGCTAACGTTTTTTATAAATAAATAAATGCGCCGTTTAAAAATACATTTATGCAAACCAACACACCTGAAGACGACCGTTTGAGTTATGGTCGAAACGTCGTGAGAATTTTTTATTGTTATATATATTTTATTATTTTGTTGTTTCCCTTCAACGTGACTTTACCGAAAAAACTAAGAATATGAATTACTGCAGTCACAAAAGCTTTAAATCAAAATTTAGTTTATAGTTTATCGGATTATCTACAACCAACAGAGGCGCACTGCCCTGTGAGACGTTCACATTGTTGGCAATCTTGTTTCAGTGTTTTTCGATCTGGGAGGAATCGGCAGTGTCCATGAATAGACGCGCGTTTGCTTCCGTGTGACATTCAAACCTGGACTTGTCCCGTACAACATCGCCAATTACCTTGCCTGCCAGACAGGAGGTCGTGGATTTGACTCCGACCCTGACGCCTGCTGTATATTTGGAGTCTGCGTCTCTCTCTCTGTGATCACGTAGATTTTTTTCCAGGTCCTCTGGTCATGCACCCCACATTTAGAATTAACATCACCCATTCAGAGTATTTGGCTGCTATTATAAATGTCCACATAACCCAGTTCGTTGAGCTATCATTTTTGATAGCCAGCTCGCTACTGAACAAGAGTTAAAAAACACGAGTTGTTGAACATCACTTAACCATTTGTTTAGCTGCTAGGCTAGACCTGCAAAGAGTGGCTTTGGCTTTTGTTGTGGTCCGTGTCCAGTTTAATGAATCCTGTTTTTGATACGAATAGGCTTAACAGTGCAAGTATCAAAGTATTAAATGCTCTGGATGGACAGTGATGCCTGGCAATAGGTATCTGTTTGGTGTTAAGAAGATCTTAACATCTTTACACCTCCTATTTTAATTGCCATAAAGCATAAAGTCTCTTCCTATTTTATTTCATCATATCGATATTGGCAAATAGGCCCCACAACTAACTGTTTTTTTATCATTCTTGATTTGAAGGTATTTATTAATTCTTTGATGTTGCGCTCCACTGCAAGCAGCAGGTGACTGTGTGGAGGTGGGGCATCTGTTCAAGATGTCAATGTTAATGTGAAATGCGGGTTTGTGTTTTTCAGGAACCCCTGCATGAGAGTCTCAGGTCAGTACCAACCCAGACTCAAACTCGAGCTCTGTCTGCCACCTGGTGGACAAATCAGTGAACGGCCGCGATGGGATTCCTAATAAACCCAATTTTATGCAGTTGTATCCCATATTGTCCGTGTGTCAAGAGACATGGATCTGCATTATACTCTGCTTGTCCCATGCTGTGTGAGTGGAGTGACTGGTCTCTACATTGACTATGCGTTTCCCGTGCTGTGTGAGTGGAGGGACTGCACCTCCATAGACTCTGCGTGTCTCGTGCTGTGTGAGTGGAGGGACTGCACCCTCCAAACAGTGAGGGAAAAAAGTATTTGATCCTTTGCTGATTTTGTACGTTTGCCCACTGACAAATAAATGATCAGTCTATAATTTTAATGGTAGGTTTATTTGAACAGTGAGAGACAGAATAACAACAAAAAAATCCGGAAAAACGCATGTCAAAAATGTTATAAATTGATTTGCATTTTTATGAGGGAAATAAGTATTTGACCCCCTCTCAATCAGAAAGAATTCTTGCTCCCAGGTGTTTTTTATACAGGAAATGAACTGAGAATAGGAGCACACTCTTAAAGGGAGTGCTCCTAATCTCAGCTTGTTACCTGTATAAAAGACACCTGTCCACAGAAGCAATCAATCAGATTCCAAACTCTCCACCATGGCCAAGACCAAAGAGCTCTCCAAGGATGTCAGGGACAAGATTGTAGACCTACACAAGGCTGGAATGGGCTACAAGACCATTGCCAAGCAGATTGGTGAGAAGGTGACAACAGTTGGTGCGATTATTTGCAAATGGAAGAAACACAAAAGAACTGTCAATCTCCCTCGGCCTGGGGCTCCATGCAAGATCTCACCTCGTGGAGTTGCAATGATCATGAGAACGGTGAGGAATCAGCCCAGAACTACACGGGATGATCTTGTCAATGATCTCAAGGCAGCTGAGACCATAGTCACCAAGAAAACAATTGGTAACACACTACGCCGTGAAGGACTGAAATCCTGCAGCACCCGCAAGGTCCCCCTGCTCAAGAAAGCACATATACATGCCCGTCTGAAGTTTCCCATTGAACATCTGAATGATTCAGAGGACAACTGGGTGAAAGTGTTGTGGTCATGAGACCAAAATGGAGCTCTTTGGCATCAACTCAACTCGCCGTGTTTGGAGGAGGAGGAATGCTGCCTATGACCCCAAGAACACCATCTCCATCGGTAAACATGGAGGTGGAAACATTATGCTTTGGGGGTTTTTTCTGCTAAGGGGACAGGACAACTTCACCACATCAAAGGAACAATGGACGGGGCCATGTACCATCAAATCTTGGGTGAGAACCTCCTTCCCTCAGCCAGGGAATTGAAAATGGGTCCTGGATGGGTATTCCAGCATGACAATGACCCAAAACACACGGCCAAGGTAACAAAGGAGTGGCTCAAGAAAAAGCAAATTAAGGTCCTGGAATGGACTAGCCAGTCTCCAGACCTTAATCCCATAGAAAATCTGTGGAGGGAGCTGAAGGTTTGAGTTGCCAAACGTCAGCCTCGAAACCTTAATGACTTGGAGAAGATCTGCAAAGAGGAGTGGGATAAAATCCCTCCTGAGATGTGTGCAAACCTGGTGGCCAAATATAATAAACGTCTGACCTCTGTGATTGCCAACAAGCGTTTTGCCACCAAGTACTAAGTCATGTTTTGCAGAGGGGTCAAATACTGATTTCCCTCATTAAAATAAAAATCAATTTATAACATTTTTGACATGCGTTTTTCCGGATTTTTTTGTTGTTATTCTGTCTCTCACTGTTCAAATAAACCTACCATTAAAATTATAGACTGATCATTTCTTTGTCAGTGGGCAAACGTACAAAATCAGCAGGGGATCAAATGTTTTTTCCCTCACTGTAGACTCTGCTTGTCCCGTGCTGAGTGAGTGGAGGGACTGCACCCTCCATAGACTCTGCGTGTCCCGTGCTGAGTGCAGGAGCTCGGACTTGCAAGGGATCCAGGATGCGCCTCCTCCCACATTCAGTCACCAAGAGCTCACAGAGGTCATCTCGCTAGGAGGAGTTAAAATGAAGCGCATTGCTCTCGTGTGTGAGTATCTCTCTACACTCTGCACTGATCTCTGTCAACATCGTTCATGACAAACAGAACGACGCAGAGCGGCACCGCTCGGTAGGTTGCTGCACATTGTTTAAGTCACGTGGCGTATCCTTGGGGCGTGCATCTTTAAAACATTTTTTTCATTTTAGCAGGTAAAGTCCACTGAGCTATGTGGCTCTTTTTCACAAGTGAACTGGCCGCAAATGACAACTCAACTAAGTTGATTATCACGTGGAAATGTATTATAGTAGCAACCAAATGATCTTAACGCGTGAAGTTGAGTCTTGATGTGAAGCGAAAAATTGGAGGACGCGGAGCAAAATCCACGTGACCACCACGGGGAGATAAACACAAACACTCCAAATATACAGCAGCAGCAGCAGGCATCGTCAAGGTCGGGATCGAACCCACGACATCCTGCATAGTAGGCCAGGGAGATAACATCTCCTAGCCACTGTGCTGATGATGAGAGAGAGACACAGACTCCAAATATACAGCAGCAGCAGCAGGCGTTGTCCGGGTCGGGATCAAACCCACAAGCTCCTGCATAGCAGGTGAGGGAGATGACATCAGGCAGATCTAGAGTGAGCCCAGTGAGAAATACAGCCACAGCGACACAGAGTGAAACACTGTAGATACAGTGCCTGCAAAGACAAAGCTCACCCGTGCAGCCTGAACAGACCAATGGGTCAAGTGCTGTTAGCGAGTAGCCGCGACGGCCGGCACGGCACACGAGGGGGTGGGTGGCCAACATCACGCCCGTCCGCCTTTGTCTATATCGTTCCGAATGTTTACACCACACCAGCAGAGGGCAGTGCAGCATGAACCATTGTTGAACTGCACCTCCACGCTTATACGTTCACGATCCCCATCATCGCCAACGATCATTGACGAGAGCGGTGATGGGGATCGTGAACGTATGGTCAAATAACCCCCCCCCCCAGGATGCGCACAGCGCGGGGAGGGGCTCATCTAGCAGCGGAGTGACACAATGTCTGTGTGGGTGTGAAAGTGTGCGAGGCTGTGACATCGATGCACGGGTGCGGTCAAGGGATGGCTCCCTATTGCTCAACCACGTTATGTATGCTGATGATTTGGTAATAGCTGCTCATTCAGAGGAGGAGTTGGAGACGCTGCTGCTGAGACTGGAGCATGCCACTAAGAGATGGGGCCTTACCATCAGCCCCACCAAAACTAAGCACCTTCCTGGGTATATTGTACCATCGGACACTCCACCCCCACAACTCCCAATCGGTGATGGGGCAGTTGTGGAGAGAGTGGAGAGTTTCCCATACCTGGGCAGTGTGCTTATGACCGGCTACAGTTTAACAGCAGAGGTCTCACTCCGAATCAGTCGAGCGGCAATATTTTTTCGTCGGTTGCGTAACGCTGTGTGGAAGCTACCTGGTCTGTCGCTCCGCGCTACGCTTCAGGTCTTCTCGGCCACGGTCATTCCCTCCCTTCTCTACGCTTGCAAAACGTGGACTCCCCTAATGGAACATCTTCGCCGGTTAGAAACATTTAGGCTGGCATGGCTACGATCCATCCTGGGTTAACCAGACTGGATTGTGTGAGGAGCTCACAAATCCTTGAAAGATCTGGGCAAGATCCCATACGTGAGCTCCTACGGCGGGCAAGGTTACGATGGCTGGGTCATGTAGCCCGCATGCCCAGCCACCGCATGCCGAAACAGCTTTTGTTCGGCCGGATCGAGGGGGCTAAATGGGCGCGGCACGGGCTAGAGAAGAGATGGAGTGATGTGGTACAGGAGGACCTGGAGCTGAGTGGACTTGCCGATGACTGGTACCAGCGGTGTCAAGATTGGCCTCTGTGGAAGAGGCTCGTGAAGGACGCTACTGGGCAGTTGGAGGTAGTCGCCCTCCAACAACAACGGAGGACGGAGGAGCGATGCTCACAACGACGAGCGGAGCGCCGGGTGGCTAAAGCACAGCAGATTGGCACAGTAGGGGGCACAGGTGGCGCATCAGCCAGTCATCTCAGTCCGTCGACCCGTGGCACCTGGGTCTGCCCCGTGACCTCCTGCCTGCGGGCGTTCGACACTCCACGTGGCCTCAAGGTGCACATGGCCTGGCACAAGCGTCGTGGTGACGTTACCGCCACTTAGTGGCGAATGGCGGTTGTTGTTGTTGAGGATGTGACACAATGTCTGTGTGTGTAGATGTGAGAGTTTGCGAGGCTGTGACACACAATGTCTGTGTGTGGATGTGAGAGTGTGCGAGGCTGTGACACACAATGTCTGTGTGTGGGTGTGAGAGTGTGCGAGGCTGTGACACACAATGTCTGTGTGTGTGGGTGTGAGAGTGTGCGAGGCTGTGACACACAATGTCTGTGTGTGTGGGTGTGAGAGTGTGCGAGGCTGTGACACACAATGTCTGTGTGTGTGGGTGTGAGAGTGTGCGAGGCTGTGACACACAATGTCTGTGTGTGTGGATGTGAGAATGTGCGAGGCTGTGACACACAATGTCTGTGTGTGGGTGTGAGAGTTTGCGAGGCTGTGACACACAAGGTCTGTGTGTGGGTGTGAGAGTTTGCGAGGCTGTGACACACAATGTCTGTGTGTGGATGTGAGAGTTTGCGAGGCTGTGACACACAATGTCTGTGTGTGGATGTGAGAGTGTGCGAGGCTGTGACACACAATGTCTGTGTGTGTGGATGTGAGAATGTGCGAGGCTGTGACACACAATGTCTGTGTGTGGGTGTGAGAGTTTGCGAGGCTGTGACACACAAGGTCTGTGTGTGGGTGTGAGAGTTTGCGAGGCTGTGACACACAATGTCTGTGTGTGGATGTGAGAGTTTGCGAGGCTGTGACACACAATGTCTGTGTGTGGATGTGAGAGTGTGCGAGGCTGTGACACACAATGCCTGTGTATGGGTGTAAGAGTGTGCGAGGCTGTGACATACAATGTCTGCGTGTGGGTGTGAGAGTGTGCGAGGCTGTGACACACAATGTCTGTGTGTGTGGGTGTGAGAGTGTGCGACTCTGTGACACACAATGTTTGTGTGTGTGTGTGTGGTTGAGAGTGTGCGAGGCTGTGACACACGATGTCTGTGTGGGGGTGTGAGAGTGGCGTCAACATCGTGGTGCTGGCATCATCACCACTTTTCACTACCACTGCACACACACAAAGTCAAGTTAGTGTGGTACTATTATCATTTATTATTATTCACGATTGATTAGCAGTATGTGTACATTTATACTAACGATATTAGTATGTGTACACTAATACTAACTAATGTTACTCTGTGTACACTAATACTAACTAATATTAGTAGGTGTACACTAATACTAACTAATATTAGTATGTGTACACTAATCAAAACGAATATTAGTAGGTGTACACTAACAGTAACGAAAATTAGTATGTGTACACTAAAACTAACTAATAGTAATGTGTGTACACTAATACTAACTAATGTTAATGTGTGTACACTAATACTAACTAATGTTAATGTGTGTACACTAATGCTAACTAATATTAGTGTGTGTACACTAATACTAACTAATATTAGTATGTGTACACTAAAACTAACTAATATTAGTGTGTGTACACTAATACTAAAGAATATTAGTGTGTGTACACTAATACTAAAGAATATTAGTATGTGTACACTAATACTAACTAATATTAGTATGTGTACACTAATACTAACTAATATTAGTATATGTACACTAATACTAACTAATATTCGTATGTGTACACTAAAACTAACTAATATTATTGTGTGTACACTTAAACTAACTAATATTAGTGCGTGTACACTAATACTAACTAATATTAGTATGTGTTCACTAATATTAACTAATATTAGTATGTGTACACTAATAGTAACTAATATTAGTATGTGTACACTAATGCTAACTAATTATTGTGTGTACACTAATACTAACTAATATTAGTATGTGTACACTAAGACTAACTAATATTAGTGTGTGTACACTAATACTAACTAATATTAGTGTGTGTACACTAATACTAACTAATATTAGTGTGAGTACACTAATGCTAACTAATATTAGTGTGTGTACACTAATACTAACTAATATTAGTGTGTGTACACTGATACTAACTAATATTAGTGTGAGTACACTAATACTAACGAATATTAGTTTGTGTACACTTAAACTGACGAATGTTAGTTTCTGTACACTAATACTAACGAATGTTAGTTTGTGTACACCAATCCTAACTAATATTAGTATGTGTACACTAATACTAAAGAATATTAGTTTGTGTACACCAATCCTAACTAATAATAGTATGTGTACACTAATACTAACTAATATCAGTGTGTGTACACTAATACTAACTAATATTGGTGTGTGTACACTAATACTAAAGAATATTAGTATGTGTACACTAATACTAACTAATATTAGTATGTGTACACTAATACTAAAGAATGTTAGTATGTGTACACTAATACTAACTAATATTAGTATGTTTACACTAATGTCAACTAATATTAGTATGTGTACACTAATACTAACTAATATTAGTATGTGTACACTAATTCTACCTAATATTATTATGTGTACACTAATACTAACTAATATTAGTGTGTGTACACTAATACTAACTAATATTAGTATGTGTACACTAATACTAACTAATATTAGTGTGTGTACACTAATACTAACTAATATTAATATGTGTACACTAATGCTAACTAATATTAGTGTGTGTACACTAATACTAACTAATATTAGTGTGTGTACACTAATACTAACTAATATTAGTATGTGTACACTAATACTAACTAATATTAGTGTGTGTACACTAATACTAACTAATATTAGTGTGTACACTAATACTAACTAATATTAGTGTGAGTACACTAATAGTAACTAATATTAGTGTGTGTACACTAATACTAACTAATCTTTGTGTGTGTACACTAATACTATCTAATATTAGTGTGTGTACACTAATACTAACTAATATTAGTATGTGTACACTAATACTAACTAATATTAGTGTGTGTACACTAATACTAACTAATAGTAGTATGTGTACACTAATACTAACTAATAGTAGTATGTGTACACTAATACTAACTAATATTAGTGTGTGTACACTAATACTAACTAATATTAGTGTGTGTACACTAATACTAACTAATAGTAGTGTGTGTACACTAATACTAACTAATATTAGTGTGTGTACACTAAAACTAACTAATATTAGTATGTGTACTCTAATACTAACTAATATTAGTGTGTACACTAATACTAACTAATATTAGTGTGTGTACACTAATACTAACTAATATTAGTATGTGTACACTAATACCAACTAATATTAGTGTGTGTACACTAATACTAACTAATATTAGTGTGTGTACACTAATACTAACTAATATTAGTGTGTGCACACTAATACTAACTAATATTAGTATGTGTACACTAATACTAACTAATATTATTATGTGCACACTAATACTAACTAATATTAGTATGTGTACACGAATACTCACCACAGATGGACGCTCACCGACTCTGGACACAAACTCAGCCCACGACGACCTCCAGATTTCCCCGGATCTCAGGACGGTGACGCTGAGCGATGTCCCCCAGGGTCGCCCCCATCACCCACACCGCTTTGATGTCTATCCACAAGCGCTGTGCTCTGAGAGCTTCTCGTCGGATCAGCACTACTGGGAGGTGGACGTGGGGAGCGCGAGGCGGTGTCGGGTTGGAGTCACGTACGGGACGATCCCACGGAGAGGGGTTGGTGCTGAGTGCTGCCTGGGAGAGAGCGACGTCTCCTGGTGTCTACTGAAAGATGGCGACAGCTTCTCAGTGATGCATGGCGGGGTAGTGACGTCACTGTCGGTGCCGCAGCCTCCGCGGAGAGTCGGGGTCCACCTGGACTGCGACGCGGGGCTGCTGTCGTTTTACAGCGCAGACTCCATGGCGCTGTTGCACTCGTTTCACCAAACATTCACTCAGCCTCTACACCCTGGGCTGGGGGTGTGGGGTGGTGTTGGTGGCTCAGTGAGGATCGTGGATCTGAGTGTTGCGTCCTGAGAGAGGTGAACGTGAACAGCGCAGAGGGCAGACGCCACGACGCACGGCGCTCGCCACCCTCGTCACCGTCACGCGCAGCGCCACGCCCGTGACTGGCTGGTGGCTGTCGGTGGCTAGGGGCTGCGTGGCTCTCCATCACAACGGGGCGGGGGCTGAGCGTAAACAATCTGTGTGTGTTTGAAGCCAACGTGGATGTATTCACCCTGCCAGAGGAGTGTGACTGTGGTGTAGGGTGCAGTGATTAGCAATGGTGAACTGGGATGTGTTTATACACTGGTGGTGTCATGGGTTGTGGGAGAGATGCAACAACAATAATAATATTAATTTTAATTAGTATAAATGTACGCGCACGACAGTGGCGTTGTAACGCTTGTATCGTCGATTCTACAATAAAAATACAGAACACAACAACAACAATGTAGTTGGGTACAGCGTCATTCGTGCTCACTGTTCATTAATTAAACACGAGGAGTAAATCTACACAGCCACTGCCAAGCAAATTAAATCCACAAATTAATAAACAAATAAAGAGACGGCGCCAAACACAAAAGGCGCCAACAATGTCCCAGCTATTAAATTTTGATTTAAAGCTTTCGTGACTGCAGTAATTCATATTCTTAGTTTTTTCGGTAAAGTCACGTTGAAGAGAAACAACAAAATAACAAAATATATATAAAACAATAAAAAATTCTCACGACGTTTCGACCATAACTCAAACGGTCATCATCAGGTGTGTCGGTTTGCATAAATTTATTTTGAAAACGGCATATTTATTTATATATATATAAAAAAAATACTAACTAATATTAGCGCGTGACGCAAACGTTATTTTTTTATATATATAAATAAATATGCCGTTTTCAAAATAAATTTATGCAAACCGACACACCTGATGATGACCGTTTGAGTTATGGTCGAAACGTCGTGAGAATTTTTTATTGTTTTATATATATTTTGTTATTTTGTTGTTTCTCTTCAACGTGACTTTACCGAAAAAACTAAGAATATAATGTCCCAGCTGTTCAAGTCGTCTGCTGCTGCTGCGTCATGGACGTGGTGACGTCACCACGCTCACTCCCCCAACGCGGTGACGTCACCACGCACGCTCCCCCAACGCGGTGACGTCACCATGCTTCCCCCTCTCCCCCACCCCCACATGCGCTCCCCCGACGCCAGCCCCTCACCCCTGCACCATCCGTAAACACAAAGAGCTTCACAGCTCATCGGATTCCCCCTCCTGCAGCCTAAACCACGACTCTGACAGTGCGCAGCTGTGGCGGTGTGGGGCAGGTGGCTGAGTGGAGCAGAGAACTCGTCAGCTCCACTCTGTTGGTGGGCATGGAGCGGGGTGGTGGTTGTAGTGGTGTTAGTGATGGTGGTTGTGTTGGTGGTGGTAGTGGTGGTAGTGGTGTTGGTGGTAGTGGTGTTGGTGGTTGTGGTGTTGGTGGTGGTAGTGGTGTTGGTGGTAGTGGTGTTGGTGGTAGTGGTGTTGGTGGTGGTGGTGTCGGTGGTAGTGGTGGTAGTGTTGGTGTTGTTGTTAGTATTAGTGGTGGTAGTGGTGGTGTTGTTAGTGGTAGTGGTGGTCTTGGTAGTGGTGGTGGTGTTGGTAGTGGTAGTTGTGGTGGTTGTAGTGGTAGCGGTGGTGGTTGTAGTGGTAGTGGTGTTGTTGGTATTGGTGGTAGTGGTGGTTGTGGTGTTGTTGTTGGTAGTGGTGGTTGTGGTGTTGTTGTTAGTGATGGTAGTGGTGGTAGTGGTGGTTGTGGACTGTGGCCGTGAGTGTCGTGTGGTGCCGCCGCAGCGGAGCATGCTCCAGTGGAACCGCGCCCACCACCGAGACGCCGTCACCGATGCCTTGGATTTCCCGCCACTCTCCCAGGGCCGGTGCCTTCTCAGACGTCCGCGTTTTGCCCACTGCACAGTCGTGAGGCCGCCGCAGCAGAGCCGCTCTGTCGAGGTCGTGCCCACCACCGTGAAGCCACCACCGGGGGATACCGATGCCGACGCGGTGCACCCTCGCCACCCCCCCCCCCCCCCCCCCCCCCCCCCTGCACGAACGCACACACGCCCCACGTAGAGCCGGGAGGGGAGGTCACCCAGCTGAAGTCCCTAGTGGTATCGAACTTCATGGTTTCCTGCGGCCGGGAAATTGGGCGATCTACCCCCTGTAGCTGACATGCACTGCGGCGCCGCGACCTAATATTAAAGTTGCATGGTCACGGCAAGGGCCATCGAGCCACCTCGAGTGGAACCACACACGCACAAGCACGGGTCAGTGGACTGGTAGCGGGAGAACAGAGAGTGGACGTCGGTGAGATCACTGCGGCGACGTCACCCGAGCTGGGATCCGGGTATCGATAGGGCAGGAAAATCCGAGCCCCTGATTGGAGGGAGGCCAAGAGACCGAAACGGCGAAATTCCTTTGTTGTAGGTAGGATAAAGGGAGGGGGATTCAGGTAGCAAGTCAGTTCTTCTTCAAGATCATCGCGGTTCCAGGAGCAGCAGAGTCAGCCGTCCGAGACGTCCGTGAGACATACACCAGCACCGACAGGCTCGCCCCTCTACAGAGACAACTCGCCGCCTCGCCCCCCTTACAGCGGTCAGTACAGCAGGTGGAAGTAAGTACGAGTGAGAGAGGCGTAAGTTTAAGCGTTTTAAATCCAGGGTAGAGAGCGGGGCGATCGGTATGAGAAATTGAATTGAAGACCTCTGAGGGATAGAATAGCGTCCACTGACGCACCATCACACGTCGATAAAACTGGTTACTCGAGGTAAATAAAATTCGCTAGTGCGGGGATAAAACTGTGTTGTGTGGTCTTTTGGGAGCGTGAAGTGGAGGGCAGAGTGTGCTGGGTGTCTACGTGTATGCGCGGCTGTTCACCTCGAGACGAAGTGTGTGGTGTTTACGTACCCGCACGATTGTTTACAGTAGCGCGTAGCGCTCGCATAGCGGTGTGACGGCGTCGTGATCGCGCACCCGCGCATTTGTGTACAGTACTGTGCGACGCGTACGGGCATACGTGGCTACTTTCGGTGGTGCCCAGTGCTCGCGTACCCGTGATATCGCTCACAATAGTGCTTAGCGATCGCGTACCTGTGTGGCTGTGTTGCGGTCACGCACCCGCACAATTGTGTAATCGCGGAGTAGCGAGTTAAAGCGCCGAGCGCGTGCGTATTCGCGCGACTGTTTGAGCGGGCCCGTCCACTCAGAGCTGAGCGAGCCTTCCCCAATCAGCGGCGCGCGCACGGCAAACGTCCCGCCCGCCCATCACTCGGCTCCAACCCCCTCGCGTGCGATTGGTGTACGGGGCTGGGCAGAGGGTAGGGGCGTGTTTGTTATCATCGGAACACGTGGAGCGTGGGTGGGAGGGAAACACGCGCTGCGCCTGTTTGTTTACGGGCGGGACGGAGATTATACTGGCGAGCCCGCTCACTGCGGCACGCCGCCTCTGAACGGCAAAGCGCACCGCGAGCGTATAAACAGACCACTGCGTCAATTGAAACATGGTGACGCGGGCAGCCGCAAAGTCGGGGGCACAAGGGGGCGAGGAATTGGGGGTCGGTAGCCCGGACCCCACAGAGCAGCCGGGGGGTAGTGGGACGAGTGTTACGGGGAAGTCGGAGAGCAATGGTCCCGACAATACGGTGATGGCGGGGGACGGTAGCCCCCACAGTCGATGCGGTGTCTCTTGGTCAGCGGTGATGGTGCGAGAAGTTCACTTTAATCAATTTACTTTTAGTGATTTACAATGAAAAAAAATCAATTAAATGCACCCGCGATTCCTAATGTGAGAGACAAATGTAGAGGTCAAACTCCGCCAATGATTTTAAGTCTTCAACTTTGCCTCATTCGCCGCTTTTTTTTGGCGCCAAAAGTGTAAATACAAAATGGCGTCGGGGACTCCATTTTGTTTCATTTATTTATTTACAATTAACGAGCGTTGATAACTTTGTTATGGAAATTCTGAGGTAAATTAATGCGCGTTTAGCAATCGGCGGTTACAACGTTATGAAAGGTAAAACAAGAAAAAAACATAGAGGTCGTTATTTGTGTAGCTTGTTGAATTAAATGTTAATTATGTTTAAAGTGTTAATGGTTAAAACATACAAACTGGCTGCCTTGGGGTTGAGCGTTTGTCGCGAGCCGAGTTGGTTCTGAGTCTTGGTCGAGATGACTGCAGCGGCTGATTCAGATTGGAGAGGCGTTTTTGTTTTATTAGTTCACGATCAGCACGGTATGATTTGCCTCATGAATATGATGAGATTTGATGATGTGCTTATTATTACACCTTTATATTGTCTCATTTCCGTATTATAACGATTTTGAATAGGAAACGTAGGCTAACTATATATTTGAGTATTTTTTGTTCAAGTTCGTCTTGTGTTCAGTGCTGGTTCAATAGGCCATGGGGGGTGGGGGGTGAACAGAGTGGTGGATTGTGGCATGTGCTGTTTTTTTCCTGGATTTTCTGTTTGAACAGTCACATAGTGACTTTAAGATTATTTCTTGTTCATGTTTTTGTTTGTTGTTGTGGGATGATGCGAACTATAAACTATATTTATTTTTCTAGGCAAGGCTAACTGAGAGAAGTCGCTCTTGTTCACTTGTGACCTCGTTATCACAAATTACAGCTCTACGGAGTGGCTCGTCACGTGGATATTTACAGCGGCAGCCAAATCCTCTGAATGCAAATTTACTCTAAATGTGGAGGGGGAAAACGGAAGACCCGGAGCGAAATCTACGTGACAACAGGGAGAGAGACGTGATGACCCAAAATATACAGCAGCAGGCGTTAGGTTCCGGATCGAACTCACGACCTCCTGTGTACCAGGCGAGGTGGTTAACATCTCGCCACCAATGCAGTGACTCTTGGCCACTGTTGCAGAGACACGAGGGTTACCCAGAAGTGATTTGTTTTCTTTGTTTATAGTGCACAATTAAATAATAACTCGTGCTTAAACTATTTACATTGTAGCTGTTCAAGAGATAAGACGCTGAACTTTGGAATGCTGCTGAGCCTTGTGCCAGTGTTTGCTGAATCATGAACTTCGAGTTGCTCTCCAAAGTTCGCAGGAATTTTAACGTTTAAGCTGCCTGTCAGTTCTCAACGTAAATCAAACCTCTTACTTAACTTGTAGATTTATAATTATTATTATTTGATGATACTGAGTTGGCAGTTGTGCACATGCAAATATAACAAACTCTTAACACATTGGTTAAACACAGCCAGTTAATATCAAACGTGTAACTTGTGACGTTTCAGGCAATGGCTCTTCTTGAGAGCACATTCATAATGGGTTTAAGAATAATGCTAATTGCTAAAAACGTCGCGTATTGCCTTTATATATGCATTTCCTTTAATGGTGGTGGTGTTATTGATGAATGTGTTGATTTGTTTTGGAAAACGATGATGAAGATC